ACCTCATGGTGCCATGCAGTGAGTGAATACTGAGGGAGGAAGTGTGTGTGCACTAAGTAAGTCACTGGCTTCCTGAAAGCTGGAAGGGGCCTGGTTTCTGATCCTAATGCAAGGTGAATCTGTGAGAGCTGGAGCAGGAAAGCGACCCTGGAGACTAAAATGCCTACTGTACTATTCAGCATCTATGTCTTTTTGCCTTCAAAGAATATTTTAGGTTTTTGGTGATTGGCAGTGCCCCTCACCTCCAGGTGTGTGTGTGTGTGTGTTAGAAGCTTGCTAAAGTGGGTTTGGGGACTCTTCAGTGACAATGTGGCTGCTATATGTAGTAGATTCTGGGTCGGTTGGCTTCATGGATAGTAGTTTTGTGAGTGTATAACCCTTCTTTGTCATTGATGTATATTTATGGCACCTGCACAACTTGCTTTGAGGTACACAGAGTGTAGAGTGGACACACATGGCCTTAGTCCTCAAGATGTGCCAGGTAACTGGTGAGCTGGGGCTGGGCTGGCCTTTTTGGGTATGGGTGATGGAGAAGGCTCCCTGCATTGCCCCTACAGTGTCTTGAAAGGGGACCATCACTTTGTGCCAAGAGATACCCCAGCCTGATTCAAGCCATAGGTGAGGAACAGTAGGTCTCTAACTGTGCTTCCTTTTGGGAGAGTTGAGCAAGGTGTGCTCAATGCTTTCCGAGGGCTGTCAGTAGCAGAGACAAAGATGCATGCAAATCTAGTCTAAAGAAAAGAATGGAGCAGGTCTGTCAGCAACACATGTGTACACACAGCAACACGTAGATGTGCATGTACAACAACACAGGCAGCGATCCTCACACATGCACACAGAAACACATGCACACACACACGGACATATATATACAGACACACAGAACAACACACACTTATGCCTTTGTTTATCTTGTTCTCTTGATCACAAATGCCCACCCTTTTCATCTTAATCTATTCAAATTCAATTTGAGTCCAAACCTGTGCATCAGCTAGGTTCCGGTTACACCAGTAGTTTAAACAAGGAAAATTTAATATAAAGAATTAAGCACTAGTAAAAGGTGGTTAATTCCTAGAAGTTGTAAAAGGAGATTCTGACAGTATAGAAGTAGCAAACATATGAGGATCATGAACAAGAGTGGAATAAGAACCAAGTAGAGGCTCCCCTATATCGCTAGAAGTCAGGCCCTGATAGAGCAGGCAGGGTTGCCCAGGGTGGCTGGTGGTGAGGAGCCAGAGTGGAAGCCTGAGCTAGAGGGTCCATGGGGCATCCTGCTAGCTGGCAGAGCAACCTAAGGGCCAGAGTTTATCTGTGGGAGGGTCAGAATGGTCAGAATGGTGCTCAGAATGCTCACTGGAGGGTGTGGGCTATAGCTGGTCTGGGAGGCCCCTAGAATGGGGACTCCCTGTCTGCTAGAAACAGTAAGGGAGACCCTTGCTCCTCCTGTGACCTGACAGTCACAGAACTCCCATCTGACAAAGAAGGACTACCCCAGAGAGTAGCTCTAGTAACACAAAGCTGGAGGAGGGGCGCATCTGGAGCTAAGAGGCTATGGCATACCAACTGTCCCCAACTTACAGGGGCTCGACTTAGAATTGTTTGACTTTATGATGGTGCAAAAGTGATGTGCCTTTGGTAGAAACTGTATTTGGAATTTTGATCATTTTACAAGCTGGGAATATGAAGCCTAATTCTCCTGATACTGGGAAGCCTCAGTGAGGCACAGCTGTCAGTGAGCCACATGATCATGGGGGGAACATCTGACACGTTAGTGTGCTGCATTGTTAAGCTATGGTGTTCAGTAGGTTAGGTGTATTTAACAGATTCTGACTTGAGATAATTTCAACTTATGATGGGTTTATCCAGATGTAACCCCACGGTAAGTCCATTTGTAACCAGCACATGTCCTGGTGCCTCCTCCTTATGTGGTGAGTCTGAGCCATAGTGTCCATGGGGCAGCCTGTATAGAAGTAGCAAACACATAGAGCTAATTTACAGCTAATTTTTTGTTTCTTTCATCCATGAGTTCCCACAATACCTAGTCCCAGGCTCTTTCCCATACCTGCTGCTAGGTATTGTTTTCTGCTGTGTGAATGTCCCTGTGGGGTGTCTTCTCTGGCCATGGACAGGGGACTGGGTCCACAGTGAATCTCCACTATGTGGTCAGTCATGTCTTTATTGGGAAGGGGGAGAGAGGAGAGCGGCCTCAATTCCCTTCCAATCTTCTGCTTTCTTAGGGTGTGGATTGTGCTCATTGTTCTCTTGGATTCCAGAACAACTTAGATGCCTGTGTGCCAGGGCAGAGATATTACTGGAAAGTAGCTGGCTGGATGTTAGGGTTTGTGTCTAGATGTTCCCCCAAAGCCTCTTGCAGTCATAGGTCGAGGTTTTCAGGGGTGACTGGATCTGGAGTGTGTGATGCTGGGGTCAAGGATGTGTGATTACTAAATTAGTCCACTGGTTGGTTTAGCATAGTTCTGGGTAGGATTAAGGGTGCCCCTACCCTGGGTGTGAGTGCTGCCTGCCCTAAGGATGGATAAAACATAAGGGATAGAAAGAGGGTCCCTGCTTGTCGCTTGTGGCTTGTTGCTTGCTGCTTTTTCGCTTGCTGCTTTTTCGCTTGCTGCTTTTTCGCTTGCTGCTTGCTGCCTTCTGCCTGCTTGCTCTGTGGTGCCCCTCTGCCATGCCACCCTGCCTTGGAGCCAGTCAAGTATGAACCGAAATCTCTACGAACTGGGAGCTAAATAAACCTTTCCTCCTTTAACTTTGGGTGTCAGGTATTTTGTCTTAGCAACAAGAAATGTAACTAAGACACTGGACCTAGGGTCTGGTTGCCCAGATGAAGATGGTATGGATACCTCTCTGGCTGCTGCATATTCCACTGTCAGTTGTGCATTTTTCTCCCCTGTTGGGTTGGAGTTGGGGACTGATTATTTCAGCTGCAAAAAGTTGTCCATTTGGCTTGAACCTTGGTACTGACTGCAGGGAGATATGCCCAGCCCTGTGTTTGACCTCATTTGTCACCTTTCCTACTTCCTCAGAACAGCTGAATGTGGCTTTGGCCAGCCAGGGCCCTGACTTTGCCCAGCTCAACAGGATCTTCCTTCATTTGATACTGGCCAGCTTTGTCCCCAGTTTCCAGTTCTTAAGAGAATCTCCCCTCCCCTTAACCCTTTGACCCATCAGGGGATGCTTATGCACACACTTTCTCAATTAGAATTAACTTCCTTCTCACTGCACCTTTCTGCCAGGGAATAGAGACTCTCATAGGCGTCACTTGGATCAGGTGTTTACATACAGGCTGAAGAGCTCTATGTGATTGGAGCTGTGTGTACATGGGATTCCCTAGAATGGGTAGGGATGGGAGGTTGAGATGTCCAACAGAGGCAGAAATGGATGGGCCCTGAGGGCCTAAGGATAGCCTGTGGCTTGGAGTCTGCTCTGGTGGAGGTGGGCTGAGGGAGTCCGTGGCTATTGGAACAAGGGTGTTTAGGGCTAGAGTGTTTGCTTCTTAATTTCTAAAGTAGCAGTTTCCTATGTCGTTCACTTGGCAACTGATTATATAGGACCTTTGAATATTTCTTGCATCTTTGTTATCAGTTGTTATTTAATTCTTCACATGGTTTTATTAGGTGCTAATTACGAGTATGTCAGCATCCTTTGTAGCAGTTGAGACCATAAGTTCATTTTGATAGTCACTCTTTGTTAACTTTGTTGGTGAAAGCAGGTACCAGGTTTTATCAGTCAGCTTTTTATCACTGTGACCAAATAACCTGACATACTAACTTAAAGGAGGAAAGGTTTATTTTAGCTCACAGTTTGAGAGGTTTCAGTCCATGGTTGGTTGGCTCCAAGGTAGAAGTATCATGGTGGAAGGACATGGTGGAGGAAAGCGCCTCATGTCATGGCAGCCAGGAAGCCAAGAGAGGAGGAAGAGTCAGAGAAAAGATATTTCCTTCAAAGGCACGGCTCCAGAGACTCATCTCCTCCAACTGACCCCACCTCCTAGTAGCCCCTTGAGCTATGGACTCATCACTAGGTCCAGTGATGAGTCTAGCACCCTCACAATCTAATCACTCACTGAAAGCCCCACCTCTGAACACAGTAGATCTCTTGGGGACATTTTAGATCCAAACCATAATGGGTCCCCACAGGACCCTGGAATCCCTTGTCTTCTCTGTGTGCCCATGGTCCTGTCCTGCCTTGGAGGCTGTAGCTGCTGGAAGGCAGGACCCTTGTAGTTCCAAGACTCTTGGCTGGGCTGGGGTATGACGGGGAATGCACAGCCTGGGGGCAGGTGGGGTCACCACCCAGCTTTGGAAAGATGCCTAACTGCCTGCTCCATGTGGCTGATACCCCCCAGTCGTGATCCCCAAGTAAATAGGAGTACCATGCTAAAAATTACTGTATTAAAAAAGCTGTCAACTCAGAGTGTTTTCTAGCCTTTCCTTTGACACTTATTAGTTATTTTATAAACAAAACAACTGAGTATCTCATCTGTAAAGGTACCAACACCTACCTCTCTGAGCTGCCTTGGGGATTAAAAGACAATGTGTATGACCATGTTTTATCAGTTGTAGAGATCCAACATGAAGTATTATCAGTATGTCTGAGGGGCGTGCGGCAAACACATGAACTCAATGTACCCCTGAATGAGTCCTTAGTAGATTCGATGTGGCTGAAAGGCTTAAACACTCATTTCTAAGGAGTAGGACCCAACCAGGAAAGTTTTTGGTGGAGGGAAGGAAAAATGAAAATATCAGGCCACAGAGACTGGCCTCAGTGTGAGATTGAAATCGACTGTTCTGGGTGGGTACAGAAAATGGGAGGGTGTGTGTGTGTGTGCACGTGTGCACACGTGCGTGTGTGCGCGTGCGTGTGTGTGTATCCTGGGCACTGGGGAGTAAGTGAAGGTCTTCAGGCAGAGGGCAGGGAAGGGGAGCAGTGTCCAGGGAACATTCTGCACTCACATTTCTCTAGCCTGGCCTCTCTCCATGCAGGTGCATCTCCGCTCTGCCAGGCGTCTCTGTGAGCTCTGCTGTGCCAACCGGGGGACCTTCATCAAGGTGGGCCAGCACCTGGGGGCTCTGGACTACCTGCTGCCGGAGGAGTACACCAGCACACTGAAGGTGCTGCATAGCCAGGCCCCGCAGAGCAGCATGCAGGAGGTCCGCCAGGTCATTCGTGAAGACCTGGGCAAGGAGGTACCCAGCCCTGCCGGGGAGGGGGGGATGGGGCTGGGAAGGGTGCTTTGGCAAGGGCCATGGCAGAGTTCTTGCTGCCCAGGCCCAGGACACTGAGGGTTCACCACTCAAGCAGCATCAAATGTCATATCAACCTCATGCTGAAATCAGAGAGATCAGAAGGAACTTTGGTGGTGCTCAGTAAAAAAATATTAAATACAAATGTGTTTTTTACTGTTTTGTTTGGCAACCTGATGTGATTCATATTGTTCAACCTAATAATGTCTGTCGATTGCTGAGGGCTTAGTGCATACTGACCACTGTGCTGTGTTCCACACATTATCTCATCCTCATGGCAAACATATGAGGTAGGTACTGTTATTAGCCCCATTTTGCAGATAAAGGATGGAGGCTTGTGGTGCTAAGGTCCAGTGTCCAGGGGCACTGTAAGTGATTCTAGTGCACTGCTCTGCATATCAGGAAGCTGCCCAAGACTTCAATGCTTTGGCTTTTCTGGAGTATCTCTGGTCGGCCTCCATCAGCCTCTGCTCCATCACTCCCAGTGAAAGGAGGGTTACTCTCTTGTCACCCAGAGTAGCCCATTCTGTTGGCAGCTGGCTTTAACTTTAAGAAGTGCTTCCTGATGATACCTTCTGACAACATCCCTGGGTGCATTCCCTCATGCTCATACCAGTGACTTGCAGGACGCCCTTTTGTGCCAAAGTGGGCACAGTTGCATGGACCCTGAATGGCTTGTTCTGGTCTCTGTGCTTCTGGGCAGAGGGAGGGATTTGAGCAGCGGGTCAGTTTGAGGTTTAGAAATTATGTGCTATAATTGGAGGGTCCCTCAGAGATCTCTACTAAAACCCTTCCCCTCCCCCTCACCAGACAACTTCTGGGTTGTCTGAACTTTCCTGAGCAAAATACTGTTAAAGTGAAGGCTTTAGTGGATGCCTTTCCTGAGATTAGTGTATAATTTTTGATTCCTCCCAGTTGCCCTTAAGATACAGTTCTTAGCAGGTCTTTCAAGGCCTGGCCCATTTGGTGTCTACCTCCCATCTGTTTCATGAAGATACCTTGTGGGGCAGAAGGGCATGGTGGCCAGAGTTTGGGCTCTGGGGCCAGGGCCCAGGCCTTGGACCTAGCAAACTGATATCCTTTTGGCACCTCACTCTCCTTTTCTGTAAAATGAAGATAACCATAATGTCCACCTCAGAGGTTGCTTTGTATAGCACCTTATGTGGAGCAAAAACTCAACAAATGTGAGATACCATGACTGTGGTTATTTCCCTCTGCTCTGGTCACACTGCACTGCTCAGCTCACACTCTTAGCCCACACTCAGCTCACACTGTCTTGCCTGTGCCTATGGCCCACCATCTGTCTGGAATGTTTTTACCCCATTCTGTCTGTTAATATGTGATTCAAGGCCTTTGTCCATCTGTCCATCTATCTAGCAGATTCCATGCAGGGTGCTAGGTGCTGGTTTCCAAACCAGACTCCAGCTCTTCTGTGCAGGCTTCTCCAGCCCCCCCTGGACTGGTCATGTTAGTGTTTGCAGAACTTTTCCGCCTCTACTTGTGCAAGCTATGGGCTTGATTACTTGAATCTTCCATTGCAGGTTAGAAAGTCTTTGAGGATGAAGGCCATGATGGTCCTTTAATCTTGTATCTTTAGCACTAGAACAGTGAGGTATACAGTTGGTACTGGTGTTTGTTTAATGAGCCAATGGATTCATGAATGATAGCTTCATTAGGCAACTCAGGGCAGGGCCAACAGTAGGGACAGAGGTTTTCATTCCATTTGTGCTATTGCTGGCCCTGACCTTGGGTCTCTTTGAGTGAAACTGGTATCAAATGGCCAGCATCTGGCTCATGGTGACCCACTCCTCAGTGCTGGCCTGGATTGGAGGGAGCCTTCACTGTCTGATGCCGTGGAGCCCAAGTCATGCTGGAAGGAAGCACAGAAATGTCTATGACTCCCTTGCACTGAGGAGCATTTCCTCCAAAAAGAGACTGAAAGGCAGTTCAACTTAGGGCTGGTGTCAGGGAGCAGGCTGCAGGCTAGGAGAGCAGGGTTAGGATGCAGGGATCCCAGGCAGAGGGATCAGGATTGGCACAGTGCTGGCCCGAGAGTGCCTTTGCTTCTTGCAGAGACTGTTGGCCTCCAGCTTCCAACAGTACGAGATTCACCCTTGAATTAAAACTAAGTAAGTGATGGTAATAACAGTGCGAGGCACATCATTGCCAGCATGTGGCAGCTCAGTGCACGTGGATGTGAGGGGGAAGGCAGCAGGAGATTAACCCTTAGAAGCCTCTGGGAAGGAGAGCGGGCTAGAGCAGGACAGCAGCTCCTCCTAGCAAGGGTGGAGTGAGATGAGAAGTTTGGGAAGTCGGCAGTCACAGTGTCCTCCCTGCACCCTGCCAGCTGTCTGGAGGATATTTGGAGCTGGAAGACATTTCCTGCATCTTCAGGGCTCCTTCTCTAGCCTCCTTCAGCCAAGCAGTCCTGAGCGAGGTGGCAGGGTGGCTCTTGCCCCAGTTTGTCTGGAGCCCATGGAGAAAGGAAGGCTAGTGTCAAGGTCACGGTTCTGAGGGGGCGTCACCACTCCAGGGAAGCTCAGAAACTTCTGGTTTCTTATCACAGCCCCCACAGGCATGCGACTGAACTCTTTCCTTTGCTCTTCTTCCTCCTCCTACTCCCCTTCCGCCCCCCTCTAGGGAAGATGGCATTTGTTCCCTCGTGACACACTTTCTAGTCTGTGGGTGGAGGGAGGGGAACAGGCCAGGTGGGGAGCAGCGTAGGTGGGTGTGGGGGTGTGAGGCGGAGGAAAGTCACTCACTTTCCACTTCCCTCTTCCAGCTCTTCCCATGGCACCCCTTGGGGAACAGCTCCCACCCCTGGGGCAGTGTTTGAGTAGGCTCTGTGACGCTTGGGTGCCTTGTTGGCCCTAGACTCTTCAGGGAAGCTCGGTTTCATCCTGATTCTGAGTGCGTGGTTGAGAGGAGCTGGGCCTGTCATGCCTGGCTATCTTTCTGGGTCCCAGGCCTCAGCTAGGCTCTGAGGTTACCCTAAGTTCAGAGGCTATGGAAGTGCTCCTGAACTTCAGACTGCAGACAGGCTGGCTAGACAGGAGCTCATGATAGGTGCTTTCTGGCCTCTTGAGGACCTCCCCACCCACAGAGCCTTGGTGGGTCACCAGGGCCCTCAGACTAGTTACTGTGCCAGGTAGATGGGACTAGTCCACCAGCAGGGGATGGGTGGTGAGATGGAGAGAGTAGCCCTTCTGGATCCCGGAACCCACGAATATATTTGGTTCCCTATCGGTGCACACCCCTGGAAATGAGCAGGTGCTATCAGGGTAGAGGGGAGGACAAATGGGCAACAGCCTTTCAGAGAGATTGGCTTAGCAGAGGGTGACGTGGGGGCCACTCAGCTGAGGGCAGCAACAAGAAACAGGATGATACTTAAGGTCTTCTGATTCCTCACAAGGTGGGATCTTTTCTGCTGCATCAAGTGACCTGGGTCTGGACTGAGTTGGAGATGGTTTCAGCGCTGGTTCATTCACTGCCTTTGGGACTGTGGGTCCCGGTGCAGTGCTAACCTTGGCCACCAGATGGCGCCTGAGCTTGCTAGTCAGGGAGAGGAGTTGGAGACCTGGCCCTTCCCTGAAGGGGAGACCAGGTGGAAGAGACTCTGGTTCTTTCTACTCTTGGGCATGGTCCCGCAAGAGTCCAAGCGGACATCTCTCCAAAGTGAATGGAGGAGGATGTGGGGTTCACACAGGGGGCTGAGGTATGAGGCTGTTGACTACTGTTGTGGTGTGTAAGTGTCCCCCGTGGCACTATTGGGAACCTCTAGGGGGAGGGGCCTACTGGGAGCCCTTAGGTCATTGGAGGTTGCTCTTCAAGGGGCTTGTGGGACCTTTTCAGCCCTTTCCTGTCTCTCTTTTGCTTCTTGGCCATGAGGTGATCAGTTTGCTCTGTCTCATGCTCCCTGACCCCCTGCCCTCTTGAGCCCTGGGCTTCATGCTGCGGAACCTGGCATGGTTCTTTATCACAACTATGAACCCATCCTTATGCCTTCCTCATCTGGGTTAGAGGTTCTCTGAGGCCTCCTGTCGGCTCTGACAGCCTGTGATTCTGTGGTTCAGCACCTTTTCTTCTTTCTTCCATTCATTTTCCCACTTGCTTCTTCAAGCAGCTGGTATTTGGTGAAAAAAGCACAGTGCTAGACACCTAGTGTGGGCAGGGATGGGCATGACTTCATTCCAGTCTCCATAGTCTAGGTTTGGGGGAGATAATACTTATCGAGGTAATGCCTGGTCATGTAAGTGCTCTAGGACTTTGTAGGTAGGAGAGAGGGGGTCTTTTGCGGGGGGGGGGGATAGAGCTTTCGGAACCAGGTGGCTTCTGTCCCTGGCCCTGAGAGATGGGTGGGATTGGAGGAGGTGCAGGTTGGAGTAAGGAATCACTGATCAATGGCATGGGCTTGGGCAAGGTGCAGGGATGGGTGAGATTTTGTTAACTAGAATGTAGAATTTAGTAGTGAGCTTGTGAAGTTGGGGCTGAAGTCACATTTTGAAGGGCTTGGAATGTTCTTTTCAGTATGTGAGCCGAGGGAGAGCAGAACTTGGAGAAGGACCTCAGCAAAGGAAGGAAGGAGGGGCTGAGATGTAAGAAGGAGGGGAAGAGTGGAGCGGGCATTGAAGGAACTCCCACAATAACCTGATCATTTTAATAATGTGGGAGATGAAGTCATCTTTTGCAAGTGGGGAAAATATAGGTGGGGAAGCTTGTGGTGGGTAGAGAGCCTGGAGACAGAGTTATAGTGGGACTTAAGAGATGATCAATAAACTAGTTTACTGCATTGGCACAGTTGTTTTTGGTTAAGAGCACATCCACATGCGTCAGGCAAGTCAGATTTTGTTATAACATATTTCAGAACAGGATGGAGATTTGTTTGTTGTCTTGGAATTTGGTTGTGTCAGATAAGATCCTTTCCACCTCTGAAATGTTATGAG